CTCTGAACTCAGCTCTAGGCGGTTCAAACGTTTGTCTGAGCCGCGACTTGAAGACTTCCAACGACCCAAACGCATATGGGTCGTGCAACTTGAGCCCCAGTGCCCAAGTCTTGGCACGTCCTGCCAGATTTGACTGGGCAAATGCAACTTGCATATCCCCGTCGTCGATGCGACGCGCCCTTATGGCGTCATCCAACTCGACGAACCATCTCAAGAGGGAGTCCTCTTCGACTCCCCTATGCTTGGAGATGTCAATTTTCAAGGTCTCGGGTCGACGCGAGTGCATCGACCCACCAGCAGCAGCCTGCTGCTGTCTCAACAGTTCAAACTGTTGAGCACCCTGTTCTCTCAACAACTCTGCTTGTTGAGAACCTTGTTGGTGAAGCAAGGCTACTTTCTCGCTTTCTGCGTCAAGTTCATTTTGAATGAACTTGGCGATAGTAGCATGTTGGGCATCTCTATTGAGAGCCTCTAGCATGACGCTAACAGCATGGATGCCCATGGTTACACCCATCCGTTCAACCGCATCCCATTCGACATCGCTCAAATGAAGGTGGCCGTCACGCGTAGCGTGAAAGCTTTGGTCATCTTCATCATCCAACATATTCATGTTGGATGTGAACGCGGTCCTTCGACGGACTACGAAGTGCTACCAGGTGTAACGGGGCACCCTGAAGCTTGTACTGGTGACAGTACAAGCTACTTATTCTGATGACAGAATAAGGCAGTGCCTCGGAACTTCACGTACACTCGTACGTGCAGAGGAAGACGGTAAGAAGAAGCGAGTACTTGGTTAGAGTAAAAAGTAGAACTGCATTTAGCATAGTTAATGTCTGCAATAAATCACTATATATCTTCATCTAACTATGTCTAAATACAAATGTGTAAATCAATTATCTGCTCACCACTCATTGCGTGCGTCTGTCGTGGCGCGTCTTCGTTGGTTGATATAATGGCCTATATCAACCAATTAGGAACTACTCGTAAGTGCTACAGAATATTTGTCCTTATGACAATATTCTGAGAATATAACTCTTATAGTTATATTCTGTTAACAATTTCTTATAAATTGTTATGTAACGATTCAACCCGTTACACTGTGACACCGAAAAAGAAAATTTGAAATAAACCTTGTTACTGTAAAATTAAATTTGTGACATCGTGTCGACCCGTGCCCACTCACGTATTGCCGACCGCCTACATAATAAAAAAAAGAGCGTGGTTGTGGTTTGTGTTTGGGCGCCGAATCTGAAAGCATTCTTTGTAAAGATAGCAATAATAAGTGTGTAATATATAAACACATGTTACACGTCGTGTCCGTCTCTAAAAATCGCACTTAGCTGCAATTTCCTCGGATTAGTGACTTTATAATCGAATAAGTTGTATCTAGCAACGTTAAAAACTTTAACCTGTCGAATATATGAGTGCATGTGTTGGAATTTGAAATGCCTGAAAGTTGCAGATAATAACGACCAAATGACGAGCGAAAGATCAAGTGCAAAGATCTGATAACTTTGTGATAAGCTTTTAGACAAACATCCTTAAAATTAAAAAAAAAGAAATATAATGTATAGCAATTAATGTTTTATCGATAATCAATAAAGTGCCCCAATGATGTAATTATCTCCTATTTTACTCATTTAAACCTGTCAATTATAAAAAATTGATAACATGATGGAGGACCGATCATATATTAGATAGTGTTCTTTCGAAATGCTTAATTGTTTGATTATGATCACGCGGATAACCACCGCGATAAATTAGACTCATGCTATGCTCGCGTTATAATGTTTTACTACGCCGATACAAACGGCGCTATGAAAAAGGGTACAAGGTAGGCGCCGTAAAGAAATCTGATGTCGATTCTAGCGGCTAATTAAGCTTTAAGACATTAATAATTCATTAATTCCTTCATTTTACTTAACAAGATTGCGTGTGTGGGTCATGTTTCAACTTAAAAACAAATCCTTAGGTGGTGTGGCAATAAATATGAACATTACAAGGCTGCATACGAAGTGATGACGAATGCAAGAACGAATTTTTTGGTAGTGCTGAATTCCGTAAACTTTAGTGCAAAGAGAATTCGTTTAATTAATTCTATTGAATATATATGCTGAGGTTATCTAGCTTTGTAATTAAACTAATCCTTATTTTAAATGTCATCACAGATTAAAACCTTTACACACAAAGCAAAATATTTAATTTTAGAAGTCTTGCATAGCACTGATAAATATCTGCAATATAACTTCATTCTTTATCAGCACTGGTAGGGCTAGGGGTGTGGGTCCAGTGCTCGTGATATCTTGAATTGTAGATCCACATTGTACACAAAGTTGTGCACGTGATTTCACGCGGCACTATCCTATCGTGCCCAAAATGATTATACTGGTATGGCGTATACTTCAATGTTGTCGTACAGTGAAATTAGAAAGCATCTATAGACTACACTTGACTTGTCATCACACCACGTTCTGTTTCTATTACACCTATAGTCGAAGAAGTCCACAGGTTTCTGATGTACAGAATATCTAATAACAATTTAGGATAGATGAATGAACTTTTTTAATATCGTCAGGCGTGGTAAGGTATTTGTAGGTACTGAGCAGGGAGAAAAATTTTCATGACCAAAATGACAGTAACTACAGCAGCGCTATATCAACAAAAGCAGTAACAGCGACGGCAAATGCAAAACCATATGCTGCGATTATGACCTGGAAATAAATTACTAACATATATATAATAAGCGGCAACAGTAATACAGTTATCCACTAATAATACCAGCATCAACTGTAATGTTTACAGCATCAATTAAATACATAGGGAGAGTAATAATTCTAAATCTAACCTACTACGCCTACAACAAGTGACTGCGAACTCAACACGCCGTGGTATTACCATTTTCAGATTCCGTACGGAAAAACCGTTTTAGGATCGGGATTGAGAAAGACCATATAATAGAGTAAGTAGATCTGACAAATCATGTGTCTATTTGTAGGCTAGGTAACCATAGGTATAACAAGACATTTATAAGTGTCAGTGTATTTTTAAAGAAAATAATTATTTACATTACACGTTTCACTAATTCAACCAAATAAACAATTTTGGTCTAATATTAAAAGGTGCACCAAACTACCACATGCTCTACTGTACAAAAAAATAGAACACTTCCAAGCCTTAACTTCGGTATAAATTGTGGGAATTATCCGTAAATGGGCATTTATTTTGTACACTATCTCATACTTACGTACCATTCCTTAGAGCTATAATCTTTTTTAGAGCGCTTTAAGTCCCCATGCACAAAATAAGATCTGTTTACATTGCACTTCAGACCATAATCGAACTTATACCTATTTATACTTGATCTCATCCATCAGCGCATCATGAGGCGTTTTACATTCCAATAATACGCGACGACAAACCAATCAGACATAGTAGATATTTCTTGTGATCTCCGAATATGCTAAGTCTTCTTGGCGCACTGATATCAGTACTTGTGCGCAGTCAAATCAGCTGTTATCATTTTCTTCACAAACCTAATTACTTCTTTGTTCAAACGCAGCGACTCGGATGTCTTAAGAGTTGAAATTAGGAAGTTGTGTTTGCGCTCAATGCGCTCAACTTCAAAAAACTACACATCGTTACGATGACTTCATTATTACTTCCACGAGAGTCTGTAAAATGTTTTCCGCTTTCACATTAAGTAATAAACGGAATAAGGACATATACATGCTTTAGGAATGAGCCACAAATGTCACAAAATAGTTCCCCAGGGAGATAGGTTCGCACGCTGTCCAATATTTGATGTTAAATTTGACACCTGCCTCCAGCTCATACTTTCGACACGATCCAAAGGTGCATCTCGATTCGCAAGGATGATTCGTGTGTTGAGGTTGGGCATAGATTAAAGATGCCGGGTATGAAAGCTTATTTAGAGATCCAAAAGGAATTTAAATCAGTCGGTACATGTTATACAGCAAGGGTGAGAGCTATTTGTGCCGGGGTAAGAGGAGGTTCAATTAAGGTCCCTGCGGACGCACCCTGTGTAAATTTGTGGACACAGGCTTTCACATGGCAATTTTTCAAGAATTTACGGTTCGAAGGCTGTCATATTAATAAAAAAGGAAAAGAAAGCGGAGATTAAGTAAAGAAGCAACGTGGAAATTTTATGTGGTGCGATTTGTATTATCGATTAAGGAATTAGATGTTGTAGAGTGTGGTAGAAATATCAACTTTCTTTATTTCTTAACAATATCAAAAGGAATTAAATACAAAATTCGAACATTGTATAACAAAAAGAGCCAAAAAAATTAAACTGCTTCTAAAAAATCTGTTTTCCTTGAAATGATCTCAGAGTGAAAACACTTGGGTCGTTCACGGTCGTCGTGATTATCTGTATGTGCCTTGCAGAAGTATCGACGTGGCTCTATGCTTAATTGAGATATAACTGTCGGAAGTGTTGGAAATGTTGGAATTGTGTACGAGGGCACGAAAAGGCGATTGGAGTGATTGGCCGGTGACCTGAGGTTTTTATGGGAACATGATGTCATAAACTCGCTGTACGCAAATGGTGGCCGCTGAGTGACAAGCAACACAGTGATTGTATTCAGGTAGAATCAGAATGCGTGCGGCATAGATAAATGGGGCAGACGGCTTCGGCGAGCACGGCCGAGGAGAGAGAACTGTTTAGAAGCAATACAGAATCTTATCTTCTACCTACTGCCTCTTACTGCAATGCATACTTGCCAACAGGATATGAGCCCAATGGCTGGAGCAAATTAAACGACCGCCAAGACATTAGGAGGTGTCGCGCGAGCCGAACCAGGGTGGTTTCACCAGCGCTTGTGCCCTCGTCGGCGAACACGCCGGCAGTCGTCAAAGCAAAGCTCGCCCACGAAAGGGGTGAGGCTACCGATGACATTATCCTAACGGCCCTCGCCGCAGTGACCAACCGCCTGTCGTAGCTCGAGTCTTCGCAGCGCGTCCGGGACAAAGATGAGAGGATGCTTGGAGACGTCGAGAGCGGCATGTTTGCTCTAAAGCTTGGGGCTAAAATGCGTGGAAGCCCCATGACCATCGACGCGCTTGGGCTACAGGAGAAGAAACCAGCAGCACATCGCGCGCGTTCGCGCTGGTCAGATGACAGCGAGTCGATGCTATCTTCTCTCGCGCCGCCGCGCGGACAGCCGCCAGATCAACATCGCACGTCGGCCCAAGCAGCCGAGCCCATGGCCGCGCCGCGTCAAGAGGCTTCGCCATCTGCGACACACATGGCAGCATCGATCGGCAACTACGAAATGCCTACCACGAATCAGCGAAAGCTCAACATTCGCATGCTCGATGGGACGGAGCTCTACAAAGGACTCGGGAACGAATCTGTTTGACTGGGGACGCACCTTCATGCGCGCTGTGAGCCTCGCTGTCTCGTCTTGTAGTTTCATGTGGACGAAGGATGTGAAGGTCGATCTCCTTGGTCACTTCTTGGCCAGTACTGCGGATTGCTACTACCACAAACAGGTCAACACTGGGTAAGTGCAGCAGCCAAGAATCGAGCACGTCCTGGAGCAGCTGAAACTGACGTTTAAGACTACGATCATGGCTAGTCAGGCCATGAAGCTATTCATGGCAAAGAACGAATCGCGGCGCACTTGGGCCAAGCCATTTCTTTACATGGTGACCGACATTGTCGCGCAAAGTGGACCCGCCTCGCTCATTCTCGACAACATCGTGCATCACGCGTCGCCGGAGATGAACGTCATGCGGGCGATGTTCGACCAAACGCGGGTTTACTTCCTGCGCCAAGCTGAAGATCTGGCTCACTTTGCGCAGTCGATCGAGCTCAAGAGCGGCAAGTTCGGTCGCGCGGTCGTCGCGAAACATGGTGAGGCTAAGCGCCAAGACACGCGAACGTGTTTTCGCTGCGGCAGGACGGGACACGTCGTGTCCGAATGCAAGGCAAGATTTGTATTTGATGACAAGACAAGAAAAACGAGCGGAAGCGGCAGTATGTTGCTCGCGCTCACGGAGAAAGCGTCAGCGGCTTGCGCGAAAGAAACAAGAGCAAGAAGGAGAAGAAGAACTCACGCAGAAAAGCGGCCCGTGCGAGCGGCGCTAGCGATAAGGGGCCAACTGCGTTCTGCACGGGCGATTTCGTGCTCGCTGCAAATGATGCGATTAGCATTGATTAAGGCGACTGAATTTGGACAGCGGCGCGAGCAGACAATTCGGAAACGACGAGTCGCTGCTGATCGAACCGGCTGCCTGCTTCTACGTGATTGCCATGGCAGACGGTAAGTCACCACGGCTGACAAAAGCCGAAATTGTGCGTCCCGAGGTACTCGCGCGCGGCGCGAAGAAAAGTATGAAGCTGACTGAAGTTTATCTTGCGCCGCGACTAGCGAAGAACATTGTCTCGTACGGGAAGCGGGAGTGCAAATGGTTTGCTCTCGTGTACGACGGTGGCAAACGCGCACTAGCGCGGCCCAGCGACCGTGCAGTCGCGTTTGACGTCGCGATCGACAGCATTGTGCTATACTTTGAGACGACAGCGACACGTGGGAGGCACGGCGCTGAAGATGCGATCATGACCGCGCTCGAAGCAATTGCGACAAACGTAGATGCCTGCGGTACGCACGAAGCCTCGCTGCAGCACTGGAATCAGCGACTTGGCCACCTCGCGTTCGATACAATCGTGCGCATGTCGCGCGATCCAGCGACGGTAGTCTGACTAACCAGCAACAAGCACACGGCGGCATGCCATGCATTGAGGGAAAGCAGACGCTTAATGCGCAGTCTTAGCAGGACAGCGGTGCGAACTTTCCAAGTGACAGGATCGGTGGTGTCATCTGCTCGGACCACAAGGGCCCGATGATGCCATAGGACTGCCTCGGCAATCGATATCTGGTATTTTTTCGACTATAGATCAAACTACTGCCGCGTGTTATTCGCGCGTGCATAGGACGCGGCGACGAAGCAGTCTGAGGCTTTTCTCGTTCACTTAGACAAGCGCTTCGGTGTCAAGGTCCATGTGCTATGGACGGCGGCGGCGAGTATGCCAACGTCGATTGTTTTTGCAAATGCACGGGTGTCGCACGCTAAGCGTCCTAAGCACGTAACCAGGCATCAAACGTCAAGGCGAAGAGGATGAATCGGACGGTGTTAAATCTCGCCCGCAGCATGATGTTTGCGTATGCGCTGCCGTTGCAGTTTTGCGTGGACGCGGTGCAATACGCTGTGCACATTTAAAGTTGCAGTCCGACGCGAGCGAACGCGAAAAGAACGTCGCCTATCGAGGTGCTTACGGGAAACGCGCCGGATTTGCGCCGCATCGTAGTATTTAGATTGTCGTGTAGCGTCTATCGCGACCCGCGCCAGATCTCGCTGCAGCAGCGATCGCAGACAGGCATTATCGTTGGTGTAAGCGAGGAGACAAAAAGGATTCAAGGTACTCCTCCAGCGGGAAAACAAGGTGGTCGTCACCCAACATGTAAAGAATACATCCACGCTATCCGATGTTCAAAATTATCAGCTGCAGCGCGCGATCGATGTCGGATATCGAGCCGAAGAAGCGAAAGAAGCAGCACCGCTAGCAGAGGCGGAAGTAAATACTCGCAATAACAATGAAGGAGCGCAAGTTATTCGTGGCACTCGCAGGAAGATCGAGAAGCCGTAGACGCGACAAGCGCACGGGACGAGCGGCGCGTCTAAGCGTGCACAAAAAGCTGCGCGCCAATACAAGCAATCTGCGAGTGATTAAGTCGTCAGCGCAGCGTTCGAGTGCGATCCACGCATTTGTGGCGAGGCCTTACTCAGCTCGAAGCGCGCAAAGTAGCGGAAGGCAATGCAAGAGGAAATCGCTGCGCTCGAGACCAATGATGTGTGGCGCGTGATGAAACACAGCCCAGAAGCGAACGCTCTTCACTCTAAGTGGGCAGATAAGACCAAGCCGGGAGTCGACGGAGAGCTAAAGCGATACAAGGCGAGGCTTGTCGCATGCGGCAACAAGAAAGTTCGTGGCGTCGATTACAGCCTAACTATTTCCGCCGCGATGGACATCTCGACGGCATAGGTCGTGCTGGCTCTTGTTGCGACGTGGGACGTGCCAACCAAGTACGGAGACATCCCGAAAGCATACTTGCTTGCCGAAAAGGAAGCTCACCTCGACATCTTCTTGCAGGTGCCACGTGAAATGAGCGTGTCAGAGAGGACTTTGCGCAAGACAGAGCTGCGCATCAAGGCGAGGTCGTCTTGGTGCTGAGAATGAGCCTGTACAGGCTGAAGCAAGCCGGGCGTCTATGGAGCCAGCTACTCCATGCGAGATGCAGCGATGCGGGGTACGTGCGATGTGTGTCAGACATGTGTCTGTACCCTAAACGTGAAGGCGACTGGCTGTTCGCAGTCGGTGTTTGCGTAGACGACCTACTGGCGACGGGTACGAGAGTCGCGGCGATCGAGAGTTTCTTCGAGATCCTGGCGTCGCTGTCTGTTAAGGATCTCGGTCACGTCCATAAATTTTTGGGGATGCGAGTGGAGCTCGGAAGTGACTGATCATATCGCATCGACTAAGAGGAGGCCACAAAGAAACCCCTGCGTGCTCATGGAATGAGCGATGCTAACCTGAAGAAGACGCCGATTACATATGAATGCTACGAGATATTAGGAGACGACGCCGCGCTGTTGGAGACGACTAGTCCAGGCGGTCGTGCGAAGATTAACGCGTTTCAGTCGCTCGTCGGAAGCCTGATGTGGGTCGCGCGGTTCTCGAGGCCATTAATTTTTTCTTTTGCAGTAGATAAAGCGACTAGGCAGACGCACGCTCCGCGAGAGCTCGACTGGAAGCTTTCCAAGCGTGTCGCGCGATACCTAAAAGGCACTGCGACGATCAAGCTCGAGATGGCGCCGGCTTTAATAAGGTGCGACACGTTGCAGCTTAAACCCTATAGTGACGCCTATTAGGCAGGAGACAGGTCGAATCGCAAGTCGCTTACGGGGGGCGTTGTGCTACTCAATGGGATATAGGTGTCGTGGACCACGAAGAAACAGGGCGGGGTAAGCCTCTCGACCATGGAGTCTAAATTTTTTGCGGCGTCGGAAGTCGCGCGCGAGCTCGTTGTCTTGCAACATATGCTTGGAAAGGTTGGAATGGCGCCGCTTGTCAATATGCTAAAGTATGTGGACAAATAAGCAGCCATCAGCCCGATCAAAGGAGAAGCCTCGTCCATCAAGGCCAAGAACAATTACGTGAGGCACAAGCATCTGCGCGCCCTCGCTTAAAATAGTATCGTCACAGCGAAGCACATTTCGTCCGATCTGATGCTCGTGACCTAATGATAAAGGCCCTCGACGCAACCAAGCTGGGGACGATGCGGAGTCTTATGCGTCTCCAGTAAGAGCTGGATGCGATGAAGGGTCAGAGGAGGGAGAGATGCAAGATGGATGCGTCGGAGTGTACGTCATGGTCGAGGCGCGCGTAGGGGTCTCAAGGATGGAGGAGCGCAACGACATGTGCAAGCACAAGAAATGGGAACGGGTGTTAGGGCAATTCGCGACCGAGGAGGAGTGTTAAAAGTCTTTAAAATATTGGAGACGGATGCGAGGGCACGAAAAGGCGATTGGAGTGATCGGCCGGTGACCTGAGGTTTTTATGGGAACATGATGTCATAAACTCGCTGTACGCAAATGGTGGACGCTGAGTTACAAGCAATGTAGTGATTGTATTCAGGAAGAGTTAAAATGCGTGCGAGATCCATGAATGGGGCAGAGGGCTTTGGCGAGTACGTAAGATGAGAGAGAACTGTTTAGAAGCAATACAGAATCTTATCTTCTACCTACTGCCTCCTACTGCAACGCATACTTGTCAACAATCACATATTGATGTTTATCAGCTTCTAAAATCTTTCGTGACACACTAGGGCCTACATCATCCATTTCAAATCTGGGCTGTGTGTGTAAGATAGAATACAATACGATAATGACGGTTTACTCGAATAACTCATTTTTATTTTGAACACACTTGAGGTATGATTCCATCCTAATTTATTTACGCAATCACTAAATTAAACACCAGAATTTACACGCCAAATGGCATTTTTACGATTATGTGTGACGCTGCCATTTTTGTACACTTGTGTGATATAAAATATACTGGAAGGCACTGCACGTTGTTCATTGCCCTAATTTGCGTCGTAATGTAATTGCCAGCAATGCATAAATGAATAAACAAAATTATCTCAGGCGATCGTTTTCTCGAAGACTGCGTCAAATTTTCGTTTGGTTCGGAACCTCCACTTTGCTATGTATTAGCGGCGTATGATCAATTTTTGTATAAAATTAAATGCGCTGGAGTCGTATCGATAACGCTTCGGTAGCTGGCTTTCACTTAAATATTCACGATCTGAATCTCCTTGTGTTCACTTAAAATCGAATGCAACCGATCGAACATGAATTTAAAGTGCTCAAAAACTGTATACTGGTCAGTATTTTTCGCTCAAATTGGTGTAGCTGTAAAATTTATTGACTCAGTTAGCACCTAGTTTAAGAATCGGACATTGGCACTACCATGTCACAGTAAAATCTCGGCTGTTGTCAGCCACTGGTTTTCATATCAAATAAGAGGTTCGACGGCGTCAACGCGTTGCTTCTGACAGTACGGCCAATGTGTAAACGCAATCCTAACCAATTGATGTTTTTGTGTCAACACGTACTATACCAAGGGAAAAATGATTTTAAGGTCATGAAAAGAATTTTTTTTGTCGCCTTTTTGACAGCCACCACGCCGCTTGTCCCGCGTGGTACAAGATAAGAAAAAAATACGATTTGGCGTTCCATACCTAGCAGTAGAATATCAGCCGTATTGTAGGATATATTGTATAGTGCCCGGATAAAAGAAATTGCCACTCCAACGCTCGACCATTCTTCTTTGCGAGTTTGTTAAAGCTGCGTGTCGATTTCGATTTTTTTACTAAGCGAGCGACCATGGCAATTTTAATGTTATAGTCAGGCTTGCTAGGGGCTAAAGCGCACCGATGAGATAGTGCGTGCGAGTGAATACTTTCTCTTGTTATTGAATTAAAAAAAATTCTATTATTAAAACTTGATTTGATCTCATGTACTAGAGTTTATAGATCTTCACTCGTACTGCTATCATACGCAAGCAAGCTTCAGCTTTTTGTCAAGAATTTCCTTAACGTAGCAAAAATTCACTTTGTACACTGTAAGGAGAAGCTGACAACGGCCACCCGCAACATCTTTTCCCTTAGGTTGAAATGGTTTGTGATATGTATGCATGATCACAGGGAGTCTAATTAGCAATGTACGATAATCTTCAAGCATCTTGACATTAAGTAGTAGTTCTACTATCATGGGTGCTTTTGCGCGGCTAGTGTAAATCTCAGTTAACATCATACTGCAATCTGGCCACCTTTTTGCGCGAAACGCCACTCAAGCTGCATCCGCGAGGAGCCAAATAGATATTTGAAATCTGTAAATTTGATTAGCACATCCCGAGCATTTAAACTCGTTACACCTTCATAATTTTTTGTACGTAGAAGTCCACTAATAGATTGCTTTTATTCTGCGTCATCGATTTAAGGAATGAAGCAGAGCTGGTAGTTGAAGGCATCGTTCGATATCTTCAAAAAGCGTCGAAGCTGATGCTTTCTGTTGTTTTTAAAAGACAGCGAAAAAAACTTTCTACAGTTTTTTTTACTTAAGCTTGAATTTTAATACAGTGAAATTAATTTCGAGATAATCCGCATTTTCAAGCGTAATGCGGTACCCCAAAACAGAAAAAAACGACTTGTACATAGTTTTATATGCCACGGAGACTTCTGGTGCCACGCAGCATCTTACAAATCCTTGGAAAACTTACAGAACGCTATTTCCATTGCTACTTGTGCGATCTCTGCCACTAGGGAAATATAGCGAAGCCAGCTGCCGACGTGTGAAGTCTTCGCCGAAACAAGCTGTCAATAAGTGCTTAAATTCATGTCGAGGTGACTATCATCAAGTGTGGTGTGGTGTTTATGGATAACTGATATATCGATAACAAACATTGCATAAGCTTACAATTTGCCCGTTACCACAGCTCTTGGTCTTAATTGTGATGGACACGTGTTCAATCATCCATTCGTATACAACACACGAAGTATCGCGCCATCGTCTCGACACAAGATCGGTCGTTTTTTTGGCAAGCACAGACAAAATAACCTTAGTACTTTTACTGGCGGTGCGTCATTAGTGTAAAAATTATATGTAATCAGGACCTAGCCGAAACTAGATTGGACGAACAATTCAGTTTTTACAGTTGTCATACAGTGATTGAGACACGAAGACCGTCAACAGTAAAAATTGACTAAACTTGGTTGCTTTTTTCGTCCTTTGGCTAGCAAGGTATGATTTATGCTGACGTATATCTTTTAGTACATGATATGATTTAGTAGTGCATAGAAGGTACAATACTTGCTGCTTAAGAAAACGATACATGCTCCGCAATGTACCCACCAAAACTCGTTACGTATCTTTTAAATGAATTCTTAGTCTTAAACTCGTTACGTATATTTTGAATAATACTCTTTGTCTTACATCACTCTGACCAATAGGTGAAGAAATGACGAAGTGGAACCCTCTTAGACAAACACACAATATAAATGTATCCCTTATTGTTACATCTATTACATTGGATACGGTGTTTTCAATGTAATTGATGTAATAACAAGGGAGAAACATGGGGAAAAATTGAGTATTAGACCATTCTCCACTCTTCACTTCACTTCACCATACCCTGTGTTCGTTGCAAAAAATGTCTATTGTGACCCGATCATTGTGACATATGTTTCTCCTTATATCTTGTAGTAATGGTATTTTTAAGACATAAATGACTATCGATACGTGGCCCTGACTATTATTGTGCGAGGAGCAACATATGGTATTTATTTGTGCAAAGATAAAATAACATAGTGTGCTCTGCACACTTGCTGATGAATTATAATACGTAATCTTGTCATTGTATTCGACACATTATTAAGTTAGCTCGACAGATACGGCACATGGAAGTGTCCAAGTTTGTGCAATGCAGCATTGAGATCAAATTCAATACGCGAAATTATAGCTCATTGCAAAAATTGTGGCTCGCATATGATGATGGACACAAATATCAAAAAGTTAAGAGCAAATTACTGGCTCAACCAAAAACTGAAAAAATTCATACGCGACCTAATCCACTTAGTATGTCACAGCCCAAAGTGAATTGGGCAATGATGGTAACTAAATTAGGTTTAGAGCGTCTAAAGTGTAACGGGGCACCCTGAAGCTTGTACTGGTGACAGTACAAGCTACTTATTCTGATGACAGGATAAGGCGGTGCCTCGTAACCTCACGTACACTCGTACGTGCAGAGGAAGACGGTAAGAAGAAGCGAGTACTTGGTTAGAGTAAAAAGTAGAACTGTATTTATAATAGTTAATGTCTGCAATAAATCACTATTTATCTTCATCTAACTATGTCTAAATACAAATGTGTAAATCAACTATCTGCTCACCACTCATTGCGTGCGTCTGTCGTGGCGCGTCTTCGTTGGTTGATAAAATGGCCTATATCAACCAATTAGGAACTACTCGTAAGTGCTGCAGAATATTTGTCCTTATGACAATATTCTGAGAATATAACTCTTATAGTTATATTCTATTAACAATTTCTTATAAATTGTTATGTAACGATTCACCCCGTTACACCCCCCCCTTAATTATCAGTCACTTTAGTGACTGATTGACTAAATGGATACTCGTCCCAAATCATTTGGGACGGGGTTTGCACTTGTTGGTCCGAGTCCACTTTCCAACAATTCATCGCATGGTTAACAAGCCCATGCGATGCTCGAGCAAGGCCGCCGAGAGCGCGTCCGCACGTCTCTGTGCGGACGCCGAAGCAGAAACCGCAGCAATTGATGTATCATCGGTTGCTGAATCGACTCAGCCTGTGTCACCTGGTGATGCAGGCGCTCGTCATGAAGACACTCATGTCTTCACAGAGTATGAGCACGGTGTCTCATACTCTCCTGATACGGAAGACGGATCCGTATCGACGACGATCGAATCCAAGCCGCCTGCCAAGCGTGGCATGGATGATGCTATGCGTCGTAGCATCTTTGGTTCATCTGATGAATCAGATGAACCATCGCCGAAGCGAAGGCGCTCGAGGTCGCGAGACTCGGGCGCTAACAGTAGTGTCGGTTCTCCTATGGACACCACTTCGCAACGAGGTGCCAGTCCTTCTGTCGGCACGTCGCAGGAAGAGCGGGACCGCAATGTCTTGCGTCTCGCTCCTGAGAAGGAGGCATGGATGCCTCCTAAATCTGTCATGGATCACTTGTCGGCGACGACGATTGATCGTTATCGAACACGGTTGTTCGATTCGTCAAGGATCCATCACCTTGACCCCAGTGCGAAAAATTACCGCGCTGAGAATGAATTCTTCATCGATTCTTTCTTTAGACATCGATGGTACAGTGGGAATCACAAGCGTGACGGTCCCTCACTACTTCAAGCGTGGAACGCCTACATCCATAAC